CAACGACGGTAGCGCATCGAAGGAGATAACCGCCCGCATTTCCAAGGCTCGAGCAGCGTATGCAGAACTAAAACACCTGTGGCGTAGACGTGACGTTTCACTAACGTTGAAAAGTCGTGTATACTGCGCCACAGTAGGAACAGTTCTGCGTTAGTGTTGTGAAACCTTGAATTTGCGGGTAGAATACACCCGTCGTTTAGCAGTGTTCGATAATCGATGCATACTTAGTCTGGCCCAAGTGGGATGGAGTGTGCGGGTTAGTAACTTAGAAGTAAGTCGTCGGGTGTTCAGGAATACATCAGACAAGAACTCGCTTTCTCATCGAATTCAGCTCAGTAGGCTCCGTTGGTTAGGACGCGTTTTGCGTGTGTCCGACGGTCGCCTACCGCAGCGCGCCTTGTTTGCAGTGGCTGTTACAGGCTGGAAAAAGCCACATGGAGGCCAGCAGATGATGTGGAGACGAGGCATAAAGAAATGCACAGGGCGATTAGGTAGAGTAGGTGTCTCTCGTCTTCCGGGTTGGGGTCCAAAAGACTACGAAACCGCATGGTTGGAGACACTGAAGGTCATGACTGCGAACCGACAACAATGGCGATCATGTTGTCACTTCTTATCAGTCCAAAATGCTTGAGCTAGTATGTATGCACAGTTGGGCAGTGTACTCTGTGTTGACCATAGAGGTTCGCTTTCTTTTCCCGTCCCTAAAAATAGGCCCAATCCCTGTCCTCCTTACACATTCTCACTTATCTTGTATGAATTATGAGTTTGGCAGCAATCAGTGAAGTTTGCTTCAATGTATTACGCTGTAGAATGATGATGATATGATGATGAATGAGACAGGAAGCCGTTGGAAAAAGGTTAAGGAACGTTAAACTAAAAATTGGCATGTGGATATGAAAACCCTAACCAGTAGACTCGGTCATATAGGTCGCGTTTTGCTTCGGGCATAGGGAAGCAGGGATCATTGTAATTAATGGTTAGATACACTGAGTGAAATGAATAGGCATCCTAAACAGTGGCGCTCGTGCAACTCAATTTTTTTGCAACCTTAGTCTACTCAAATTCTCCGTTATCTTTCCGACTCTACTTTAAACCATCCTGTTTTTCTCCTATTGCTTCATTCAACCGGTCAGGCGAAAGACAGCAACGAAAACCGGCGCATGAAAATGCATGGTTAACGGTTGTAAAATCAAAGTGAACCCGAACAATTGATAAACAAAGGTCATAATTTTGAAATAAACCTCCCGGTCACACGCTTTAAGGACAGGCAGCGCAAGAGTTGAACATCGATATTGCTTATCCGTTAATTCCACCAGATTCTTGCATTGCGGTATGGTCATGGGTTTTGGTTTTCCTGTTTTTTTCTTTACGACCAAGTCTCTACAATGCACTTTTATTGCACAACTAAACATAGTGAATAGAATAAACGATATTCTTGGGACATTTATCTCACCTGTTTGCTCGGTTTGAGTTAGGACTGATGAACCACTAAGACATGCTATTCAAACCCCCC